TTAACACCCCCCACCCAAAGAGGACATCGCTCTTTACAACTTAGAATCACAATTGGTCAAAAAAAGTTGAAATCATAAATTAATGAACGAAAGTCTATCAACTCAAGGCAGGCATATCTAGATCTTTGGAAATTAAATCACCGTGAATACTAAATTGAGCTTTGTTGATAGAAAAGAAAGATTTTGGTATAAACACTACTATGCGTTCATCCCATGTAAAGGAAAATTTTCCTCCTCCCTTAATTATATTGGACACATACTGTCCCGATAGCATTTATTCCATGTGATGGGGAAGACAACATGCACTCAACATGTGTTCATTCAGTTTCATCATAAGCTTCTCATTGATGATAAAGTTTCCCATCAAATATCCTTTTGTCTACTTGTGGAATTTGGCAGCAAAGTGCTCTGCTTAATAAACGAAAGCAAAGCACCAAGGCTTGTGTATGCCCAGGCATGATTACCTAAACATAGATTTTGAAGATTTCACCTATTCCTCTTCAATTACTTTTATTTAGTGCTCTTACACAGGGCCCAAAGTTTGACTCCGAAGCACTCCAAATTCATGCGGCAGTATTATGGCCACACAGAACAGAAGGACGGGTATGGAAACAAACAACTTTGAAAGAAAGGATTGCATATACGTTCAGGCTGAGAGATTATTCATTTGGAGGAAAAAAGAAAGAAGAGAAAAGTATGTACGCAGTGCATTTCTTCTCTAATTGCACAATACCATGCCAGGGTAATAAGCTGAGACACACAACTTCTATGTGCACCAATTCCTATTATATCCTTATGCAAACTTAAATAAGAATGTCATCATGTAAATCAAACATGCACTTGCATCATCCAGCAGCACACTGTTGCAGTTTAGAGATTTATTTATAAATTTTAATTTTAAATAAAAAATAATAAATGATGTGACATACTATGTAAGCTGTGATTCAATTTTGAAATTACTACATGTTATGTGGAATGCTGAACTGGCTCTCTGTTAACTAACTACTTATCAGAGAGGAGATTAACGAGAATAGGGATGAAAATATATTAGGCTTTACTCTAAACAGGTCTGGCCTGTAACATAATTATTAGACCTGAACTTAGCTTGTTACCTGTTAAAGGCTTTATTGTATGTCTCTGACCTGAAGTCTGTTAACAAAGCCTGTTACAAAAAAAAAATTTAATATTAATAAAAATATAAATATTTTATTATCAAATTAGTTTATATATTTTTTTAATTTCTATCTATGTTATTAATAATTATTAAAGAATTATAATAATACTAATATAATTTTATAAAGAATTTTTAAAATATTATTTAAGTATTAATTATAAATATTTTATATTAATAAAATTTATATTTGTATTTTTCTTGATTTATTTCTTAAAAATTATATAAATAGTAAATATTTTAGTTTTATTTTAGAAACATATTTTGTTTATTTAAAGACATCTTATATTCAACAAATAAAGTTATAGTAAATACATCAAATTGATAAAAAAATAATATTTAAACAATTTCTTGAATCAATTAAAAGAAAATTATTATGTTTTAAAAAATAAATAAATTTAAACTTAATGCAATATATATATATAATGACAATAATAATAACTATTAAATTAAAACATAGTTACAAAATATTTAATTTTATTTGTTTTATTAATTTATTATTTTAAATTAATAAATAAACATAAAATTAACTAAATTATAACATTAATGTAATATAGAAAATATTGCTGATACAATAAATTAAAATATATACTTATATATTACATATAAATTGATAAATTAACTAATAATTTAATTAAAATACGTGCAAGTTACAAAAATATATATTATTATATAATTTATTTATAATTATATTATTTATATTATTTGTTATATGGTCTGATTATATATATGATAATAAAATTTTTATTTTATTTTCTTATCATTTTTTATAAATTTTTCCTTTCAAATAAAACATAATTTATATTTAAGCAATTTTTATTTATTATAAATATAAAAAAGTATAACATAATATATTAATATAATAATTGAATATAAATAATAATAAAATTAAAAATATGAAAAATTTATTAAAAGAATATTAATATTTTATTTTTAAATTTTAATTTATTTAGTTTTGATCGTGTCTTATTCTTCTTCAGCTTGTTTAAATATAACAAATATAATAATTTATAATTAAAAAAAATTTAAACACGTGTAATCGTGTATAAATATTTTTAGTTTTAAATATAATATAATTTTTAATTATTATAAATAAAAAATTATAACATAATATATTAATAAAATAATTAAATATTAATAATAATAAAATTAAGAATATAAAAAATAAATTAATATAATATTATTATTTTATTTTTAAATATTAGTTTCCTTAATTTTGATTACGTTCTAATCATATTTGAAGACTTTACTGCTCTTTAACTTGTTCAAACAAGTTTAATAATTTACCTTATATTTATATTCAAAAGAAATATAGATAATAATAAAACAAGAATAAAAAATAAATGCGATAACAGTTTTGGCTCATGTGGTTGTGCTAGGTTTATAATTTGTTGTGATGTAGTGAATACAATAACTGAAATTTTTTATTATAAATTTTATACCAATAAAATTGCTTAAGAAAAGATAAAAAAATAAAATAAAATTTGTATAATATTAAAAATTTATAATGATTGTTGTTATTGAATAATATTAATAAAAATATAATTATTTTATTATCAAATTAGTTTACATATATTCAAATTTTTATTTGTGTTATTCATAATTATTAAATAATTGTAATAATTTTTATATAATTTTATAAATAATTTTTAAAATATTATTTAGCATTAATTATAAATATTTTTATATTATAAAATTTTTATATTTTATTTTTCTCAATTTAATTTTATAAATTTATTAAATATTTAATTATTTTTATAATAATTATATTTTGTTTGTATAAAGACATCTTATATTCAATAAATAAAATTACAGTAAACACATAAAATTGATAACAAAAAATAACACTTACAAAATTTATTAAATCAGCTAAAAAAATTATTATATTTTAAAAAGTAAATAAATATTGTCATTATAAAAATTGTAGATAAAAAATATTTATATTATAAAATTCATAGATGCAGAAAAATAACATATGAGTATAGAAAGAATTATTAAAATTTATATTTAAATTAAAATAACTTATATTTCTAAATTTTTATCTTAATTAAAAATAAAAAATATGGGATAAAAATTAATATAAAAATTTAAACTTAATGTACTATATATATATATATATAATGATAACAATAATAACTACTAAATTAAAAAATATATACAAAATATTTAATTTTATTTGTTTCATTAATGTGTTATTTTAAATGAACAAATAAACGTAAAATTAATTACACTATAACATTAATGTAATATAGAAATTATTACTGATACAATAAATTAAAACATATACTTATATATTACATATAAATTGATAAATTAACTAATAATTTAATTAAAACACGTGCAAGTTAAAAAAATATATATTATTATATAATTTATTTATAATTATATTATTTATTACATGATCTAATTATATATATATATATATATATTATAATAAGTTTTTTATTTTATTTTGTTATCATTTTTTTATAAATTTTATTTTTAAATAAAATATAATTTAAATTTAAGTAATTTCTATTTATTATAAATAAAAAGAATTATAACATAACATATTAATATAGTAATTAAATAATAAAATTAATAATAATAAAATTAAGAGTATAAAAAATATGTTAATATAATTTTATTATTTTATTTTTAAATTTTATTTTATTTAGTTTTGGTTACGTCTTATTCGTATTCAAAGACTTAACTATTCTTTAAATTATTTAAATATAATAAATGTAATAATTTATTATTAAATAAATTTATTATTTAAAAAGTATAATCATGTATAAATACTTTTAATTTTTAATAGAATATAATTTCTGTTTATTATAATTATAAATAAATAAAATTATAACATAATATATTAATTTAATAATAACAGAATTAAGAATATAAAAAATATATTATTAAATAACTTAATTATTTAAATATATTTTGATAGCTCTATTTTTAAATTATAATATATATATATATATATATATATAACAAGCTTTATAAACTGTTCAGGTCTGCCTTATTTACTTAAACAGACCTTAAAAAAAGCTTCAGTCTGATTTATTTATTAAAAAGGTCAGATCAGGTCAAGCCTAAATCAGGCCAGGCTACCGGCCTTTGTCAGGCATTGTGGCCTGTTTCTATCATAAACGACAGAGACTAATTTCAAAATTACTAACTTTAGAAGAATTATTTCTTAATAAAAATATCTGTAGGCACTAATCACAAAAATAATTATATTTATAGTGACCCAAAAATATAATTAAACCTATTTTTATGTTTTATCAAAATATTTAACTGAAAAATTAAAAACCAATCGTAAAAATACTTTTAGAAAAAAGAAAGTGGTGTCTCAATTAAAAACAAAAAAAGTTACCCAATTGTTTAAATTATTTACGAAAGAATTATATTTTAAAATATGTGACAATTTTGTTTATATAAACTGATGTTCTAAAAATTTTAGTAGAGAATTAAAATTTAGAAATTGTCTAGTTTCAGAAAATGTTTTTTATTTTTATTATGTTTTTATGTTTTTTAAATTTTAAACAAACACTAAAAATAATTTTTTATTACTTTTTGTATAAATCTTAAAAAATATGAAACAAATAAAAATAATGTGACAGTTTTATAATTAAAAATAAAAGTAAAAAAATACTTTTACAAATCAAATAGACTCTAATATTTGATATTAAAAATTATAAAAAAATATAGATATATAAATGATATTTTTTAATGTACTTTTTTATTTTTATTTTTAAATATATTTAAGAAAGCAGTTAAAATTGGCTTAAAAAGAGAAGGAAAACAATTGTAAACAAATTAAGGGGGATTGCATCTGGAATGCAGTAATTTACGTAACGAACAGAAGAAACGCACGTGTCGTTTGCTTCTCTTCGTTCTTGGAACCCATTCCGTCTCTGTTTTGGTTTTAAACAGTTTTTGGTTTGCCCTATAAATCCCAATACAGTGTCTCAGTGAAGTACAGTACTGCTACTGTTCCCTTATCAACCAAGTTACCGTCTTTCTTTTGGGTCTCTCTGCGACACAAAATGGTTCGAAAATCCAATGTTGCCAGAAACAACGACAAACCTCATGTGGTACATTAATGATCGGACATTTTCTCTTGTCCTATTTCTCTTTCTGTTTTAGTATGTGCATGTGTTTTCTTGCTTCCATTCAGCACGTTTCTATTATTTTGTTCCCATAATATATATATATATATATGCGCAGGGTTTTGGTTTTGTTAGGGTTTTAGAAATTAGGATAGATGAATGGATGTTGGTGAAACTGTGGGATTAGGAATAAAATGAGGGCATGCAATATGTGGTTGATTGTGTTTGTGAGTGTAATGTTAACTTGACACCGCTTTGGCACTTTCTATGCGTAAAGCTTGCTTTTTTCTTCACCTTTTGGGGTAGGTGGATTCTACAAAATTGTTGCCTAGGAAGAGTGTAACATGAGGGTGTTCTTTTAGCTTGTCATGTTTGAACTAATGTCGCCTATGATCAAATAAACTGAGCAAATGGAATCATATCTATTCACTCACTAGTGATTTTAGCTCTTCTTGAAGCCTGAAATTAGTACATATCCTTATCAGGAGAGAGCGGAAACTCAGCTTTCCAGTGGAAACATAAAACTGCCAGGGGCTTTAGAATCTCGGCTTGAAATCCCACTCCCTAGGTTTTCTTCGCCGACACATCAAAATTTCTTGGTGGATGGAGTGGAGACGCGTAATGATAAAAGCCAAGCACAGGATCAAGTGAACCAGGCGTCTGAGCGAAAGAAGTCTGCTATGTTATCCAAAAGGAAAAAATCCAAACACCATGGTGGGTTTGTGAGGCGATCAGAACGCATTAAGAGTGCATTTGTTAATGACCCTAACTCAAACCATGGCATTGAATACATTGAGGATGAAACTATTAGCGAAAGTGAGAAAGATGAACCAGGTACTCAAATGGAGCAAGTATTGGCAGAGGCGGAGCTGGAGCCAGAGCCAGCTGATGTTTTCGGTGAAAAGACCTTGGATGAAAAAGTTGACTATGCCTTACAAAGAATAGAAGCTCTTGATAAGATTGTAGCATTGTTGCAATCCAAGGTAATTTGTAATCTAAACTCGGGATCAGGACTAAATGTGATTGTCATTTTTCTAGTGATTTGTGGTTTGTCTCGTTGGCTTATGTACTGAACATGTGGCAGGTAGATGAAAATATTGGCTTCGATGAAGCTCCATCTATGGCATCCATGAGTTACAGAAGCATGTACATTAACTCACAGAAGAAGGTTTTTTCTGTTTTCTAAAATTTGATTTTCTAATGAGTCTTTTATGCTTATCTTCTTTGTTGTTGGCCTGCTATTCCTCTATTTTTTATCATGTCGTTTATTGCCTTACATATGCAGATTGAAGCTTTGACAGATGAAAACCAACAATTAAATGGAAAGCTACAAAATGCTCTTGGCAAAATTGAAGTGGTATGTTGCATCATTACAATTCTAGTCCTCCTGCATCTTGATTCTTATTGTTGCAAAGGATATCCTTATTCAATATTGTAAAATTGTGCCTTTTCCTTTTCTTTGACCCCACCATTGGTTAGCATTGTTGTTTAATAACATCTATTAGAAGAAAAGGTATATATGATATTTAGTGATTCGAATAAGTATATTTTTCATGAGAAGTTATTTAGTGTTTCTTTCGCTAATTGTTGTTTGACATGCTTCTACTTTAGGAGCTAGAAACCTTAATGTGGATAAATATTTCTTAAAATGGTTACTAATGTATTATCTGATTTGAGTATCAAAAGTGTCAATTTATAAAGAGCCTTGGATTTAATTAAACTATCTCTTAATTGTGTTTTTTTACTAAGTTGATGTATCTCTAACCATATATCCTGGATAACTTTACATTGTAGTACGAAAAAGAGAACCGTGTTTTGATTGACGTATTGGATAAAACGAAGGATGCTGTTAATGCTGTTTTGGTTTCAAATCTGGTAAAAACTACTGAAGCAGCTGTTAATGCATCGACTCAAGCAATCCAGAATGCATGTACAACTTCTGCTACTAAGAGAAAGAGAAGTGAAAATTGAAGTAGAAAGCTAATAGTGCATAATTTTTTAGAAACTTGACACCCAGTGTACTTGACTTTGAACTCTTGTATATTGCTTAATGATTAGAACCCGAGAACATGGATTTTCTGTTGCTTAATGTGGTAATTTGAAATTTTTTGTTCTACGTTTCTTATTTTAGTTGATGGTGCATGCCCTCAATTCATCAGATTCATACAAATAGAAGAATATCAACTAGGCTACATCTAACAAGTTGAAGGTTACCCCTGGCGTGGATGAAATAAGGGTGTATAGCTTGTGTAGTTTGTGTTGCAATAACCTTCCTCTTGTTTTGATCTCAATGATGATCTACCTAGAGATCCACCCGCCTTTTCCTTTTGTGTTGGCAATGATGATATCGAATGCTGCCCCTACCACTACTATTCATGGCACTAGGAACTAGAGGGAGCAACTTAATTCATTCATTCACTCACTAACTATTCAATTAATTCATGTAATTATAAATACAAAAATTAATAGATTCATTAGATTGGACCGCCATTTATTATTGAATGAATGACTAATAAGTATCTAATATGTTTTTGTAATTCATTGAGTGAGAATCAAGTCATAATCTCTATCATCCAATCTTTTTACGGTATATATATATATATATATATATATTACATTTTACTTTAAATGAATGTGTTGGACTATCCATTAATGAATGGACTCGGTACTTGTTTTTAATTACATGTGTTATGGATGACTTAGAATTTTTTTAAAACATTTTTAATATACCGTAAATAGATTAATGTTTCACTTTTAACTTGTCCTTTATAATTATAATTCAATTCAAAATCTATTCAATTTGTTTATTTGACACTCTTCCAAGAAGAATTCCTTAGTGGTTGTGATGATGTTCTTCACGCCATCCACTTTCGGATTTTAAAATTTTGTTTGAAAGTTGAATTTTAAGAGTAAAAGAGAGGAGGAAAGAAAAATTTTATTTGATAATAATATTTATTTGGAAGGTTCATGAGCACATGTTTTAAATATCATTTAATTTTAAAAAAATTATTTTTTCTTTTTCTCTCTTCTTAATGTAGAAACTAACTTGAGAGTTTAAGTTTCAAGGTGAAGATAAACGTGATATATATATATATATATATATATATATATATATATATATATATATATATATATATTTATTGATTCAAATAGAAATAGAATCAAATAGAAAATCTTTTTTTTCAGTAACCTCTAATCAAAGAATTAAATAAACAAATTATCTTCCGATTATTTTAGAGAACAAATTAAGAGACGCTAAGGATTAAATCAAATAAAAATAAAAGTATGAGTATTTTTTAGAGAATAAATCAAGAAACACTAAGAATTAGAAAGAATGAAAATAAGAGTACGAGTATGCAAAGTAATCTGTTTTTTTTATTTTATTTTTTTACTTAATGAAATAGGAGGATAAAATTTATGTCTTATTATTTTTACATGTTAATAACATTCATTCTCTTAAAACTTTCAAGGATATTTTTAGATATTTTGTTTATACTTAATATTTTTTGATTTTATGAGAAATCATATAAAAATTTGTTAGATATTTTAATAAAAAAATTTGTCAATAATATTAGCCCAAAATCCTTTTTTGATTTTGTACCAACAATTTTACTATTATTATTAAATATTATTATAATAATATTATTATTATAATACTATTAGTTAATAATACAAAAGAAAAATAAATATAAAAAAATATTTGTGAACAATAAAAAAAATATTTTTTTATATAGAGATAGGAGACAAAATTTACATAAATATTGTAATTATTGTTTGGACTGCTTTAATTATAATTTTTTTATTTTTCTTTTCTATAGGATAGAAATGAACTAAAAGTATATTATTTCTATTTGTTGTTAAACATGTTTGCAAATTTAGTCCTCGAAAAAAGTATATGTTTTGTTTAATCAACTTTTAAAAGAATTTCTGAAAAAAAAGTTTATACAAACAATGATGATAAATAAATGTTTTTATTCAAAATTACAATAAAATGTTGACAATACTAAATATTATAATTTTTAATAAAAAAGTGTTTTTAATTCTTTTAATTTAGTTTCGGAAACTTGTTATGGTCATATAATGAAAGTGTGAATTAGTCAACTTTTTTTTCTTTTATTAGTTTTGCATATATCGAAATAAAACTCGTATTTGTAACTTATGTGACACTCTTATTTGCAATTCTTGGTGTTACAATAGAGGCAGAGTTGGACAAAAGATACATCAAATTGAAAAAAATTATTTTGTCTCTTTCCTCCAAATGGTGAGAGTTGACGGGATAAATGCATGATAGTCAGCGTTTGAACTTCGTCCCTAGCAAATTCCCACTTCGTTCCGAAGATAGAAAATCTCTTCCAAGAGATCAAAATGGCTACGACCAGCCATTTTTTAACTGCTTCTTTCCCTTTGGAAACTAAGCCCACCATTTGCTCTACATGAAAGTCTTGATTTTTAAACCCACCCACCACCATTCTAAATTCAAATAAGTCCTAATTATTTTTTAATTTTTGTGAAATAAAAGTAACATTCACAGCATTCATTTGAAGAGCTACGATTATTATGAGCATAAATAAATATTTATTAATTAAAGGTGGTGGTGGACACTAGAAAAAATAATTTCTTACATACATCCGAGGAATACTTTGCAACATCATTACAGGGGGTGTTATATGATGGTGCCTAAAATTTCTGTTTACTCTTCTTCTACACCATCGTTCCTGGGTGTTTGTGGTTCACTACTTTCGTCTTCTTCAGCAATTGTTGGGGGCGGAGATGAGAAGTCTAAGCACATTCCCTGAATAACATCTTCGTATGATTCGGAGAGATCTTGAGATGCAAGTTGGTGGTACTCCACAAGCTGATGAAGGCATTGATTTTCTCTTGTAAGATTTGCATTTTCATTCGCCAGTCTCGACTTCTCAGCAAGAAGTGCTTCGAGCTGAAGCCTCACCTGCACCCACCACCCTTCACAATATTAATTGTGTTTAATGAATCAAAAGTACAAGGTTGATTTCAAAACTAACTAAAAAGTTGAAATTTTTTCTTTAAGAAAAGTAACTTTTTTACTTTCACATTTAGTTTTTCATCTTCCCAGCATTTTTAAACTGCTCTCCTCAAAAGAGAATGTAGAATCAATTTGAATTTGTAGAATTTAAAATGACATTCATGTTCAAAAATTTGTAATAAAATTTAATATAAACTTGTCGTGTTCACTCAGAAGTTATGATTTATCAAGCTAGTTCAAATTGTAAATCTAAAAGCAAATTAAAATTTGTTCATGGGCAACTAAATATCAAAATTTTCATTAAAATCAGGATAGAAAGAACAAAACCGTTTTTAATGTATCATGTATCATGATTTATAGATTCCTTACCAAATCATCTTCTTCGGGTCTAACACCTTTTGCAAATCCATCACGCAGTCTTCTGTTCTCCTCTTCAAGCAGACCGCATCTCTCTTGCATAAAACATAGATCTGACTTAATAAACTTCAATTCTCTTGCAAGCGAAGCTGCTTTGGTTGCCATTGAAACTGCAAGCTGCAGAGTGCAAATAACTAACACAATTAGTTAACTTTAAGCAAACCAACTCACTAATAGTTGGTATGCTAAGAAACAACACCTACATTTTTTGCTCTCTTAATGTTCCTATCTTGCATATTTACCCCATTCACTGTTTGTGACTCAAGGGCATTTTCTTCAGAGGCATCATTGTCATCAATTTTCCTCTTTATTCCTTTCTTTGACTCTTCTTTCTGTTTCTCCCCTGAATCCTCTTCTTTCTTTTCTACATTGTCAAATTTGCTGTGGAATATATCAGTTAATGTGGGTGGGTTGCCTAATTCTCTGGCACCCTGTGAAAAAATAAACAGCTACAAGTTGTAATGACAAGGGATCTTCAGCATTTAATTCTAGTAGACTATCTATAAAAATTATAAATCAACAATTTCAACATTCAAATTTCAAAATATAATTTCAAGGAATAAGATTGTAGCAATGTTATTAATAACCAAACAATGTGTCACCTGTAGGGCGTTGTCCAAATTATTAGACAATAGAGAGAGAGTGTGGGCAACTGAGTCAAATCCTCTCATCAATAATAAAGAATCTTCCTTCAATCTATTGCCTTGTTCATTCTATACAGAAAAAAATAAAATAAGTATATTTATTTCATAATAAAAATATTCCATAAACAATGGAAAAGAGGTAACTGACCACAGAGGTGGAAGATGAGATGTGTTGACGCCCCTCGAGAAGCGTGTCAATCCTGCTGCGGAGAGTGCTCCAGAAACGTTTATCAGAGGATGGGGTGAACAGAGGAGAAGAAGCCATAACATTAAGAGTTGAAGTGGAACCCTCTTCATCCTGTCATGAGCCCAAGGATTAGCTGAAAAACAAAACAAAACTGAAAAAATAACAGCTTGAGAAAGAGAAGAAACCTGGTTGATGAGAGGAGAAGGTGATTCCAATGAGGCTGCCATGAGACAGAGAGAGGTAAGGAAGCTAAGGTTAACGGCTAGTTTTGAAAAGGTATCTTTTGAAGTGAAGGATGAGGATTTTATTTAAATAGTTGGATTTAGGTAACGTTCGAAAATGTATCTCAAGTTTATTTTGATTTAATGATGGGGAGGGTGAAGTGTTTCATACCTTTCAATGCGCGGCGCCTAATGTTATTCACCTTTTCCTGCACAGTAACAATTAATTTTTTTATATATGATTTTTAAATATATATATATATATATATTAAAATATAATATTTTTAAAAATATATGAAAATATAGTATTTAAAATATAAAATTACAAAAATTATCGATGATAATTTTAAATATATATATATATATATATATATTAAAAATTAAAAATCAAAAGTCGTCCATGATAATCTCTAAAACAATAATTATATATTAAAAAATATCAAAAAGTACTCAAAAGTTGCCATTCACAATTTTTAGCTAAAAATCCCTAACAGCAATTTTTTTTAAAAATATTTTAATTATAAATAAAAGTATATGATTTAAAAACTGAAACATTATGATTAAAATTAACTAAAAATAATGTGTTAATTATATTTTTCTATGGTACAATTATTTTATTTTTTATCCACATCTTTGTTAATTCTATCTTAAAATTTTAAAATTAAAATTATTACTTAATTTTTTATTATCTTATATAATTTTATATTTTTAGTAAATATCTATTTTTATTTTTATAAAAACTATTTTACTTTTTATGTTTTAAAATTTAGTACTTATTTTTATCTCTTAAATTTATGGTTATTAATTTATATTAATTATTGATATTTGATTAAAAATTTGATATTATATAATAAAAATATTATTTTAAAATAATTCATATTTTACTATTATTTAATCTTATTAAATTTTTATTATTTTGATGTATACTATTTGTAATTATAGAATTAGATGTAAATAATTTTAAAAAAATTGTTGTTTAAAATAATTTTATTTTCTATTTTGATTTATAATTTATAAAATTTTTATTTTAATTACTAAATTAATATTTTAAGAACAACTCTAATGAAATGTGCTTGTTTTACTTTTTAGACTTAGTAATTATGCACATATGTTGCACGAACTTATTCAATGTTTTGTTTAAAAATAGTTAAAAATTTATTTTAAAATATGAAAATTATTATGTTTTAAAAAATAAAATTCATAATTTTTTTTATTCAATTATAATAAAAATATTATATTTAAAAAGATTATGAAACACTTTATTGATATTAATTTAACATATATATTTGTTTATTTTTTAACTAAATTTAATATGGCACATTAATATATTATTTTATTACTATAATAATTTTTTAAAAATAATAATAAATATAATTTTTATATGAGTTTTTTTTATCTAAATCCTTAAAGTTGAGTTAATATCAATAAATAAAAAAATTTCATGAAAAATTACATATTTATTAAATTAAAGAAAAATATATAATAAATATTTTAATAAAATTTCACTATTATTAGGTGTTTATCATTTTCTTAAGAATTGAAGTTAATATTTTCTTTTTAATATAAATATTTTAAATATTATTTGTTAATGTGTATAAATATAATAGACAAAATTAGTCTTTTCGTTTCTTAACTTAAGGATAAAATTTGTTTTAGTCTTTTAACTTTTTTTTATATTCAATTTTGTCCTTAAAGTATTTTTTTTTATGTTAATCGTTTTCGTTAGCTTTGTTATATAACCTAATAGAGACGTCCTACATGACACTAAAGTGGCTTACTATTATTTATTTAATCCTACTTAGACCCTAGAAACAGAAGCCTTGAATTGGAAGCCATTGTCACGTGGAGATAATAGTTACTTGAAATACACTTAAAGGAGAAAAACTGTGTTTTAAAGGAAATTGGAGAGATTGAAAGCGAAAAATCTATTCGTAAAGCAAAAAACTTCATGCTATAAGGGATTCTTTTTAGCAAAAACTTAAAAATTTGAAGTAAAATTGATCATCAAGGTTATAACATATGTTTGAAGTGAACACTTGGGTATATTCTCTACATTTATTTTGTGGGGTTATAAGAGTGATGATATTATTGAATATTTGAAAGATTTCATCTATTTAAAAATTAGGTTTTTTCTATTAACTTTTTTAGGTCATAGAAGATGGATAAATTCTACGTAGAAGTTCACTATAATGGCAATTTTGAAAAGTCACGAAAGACTAAGTATGTTGGAGGTAAAATAAGTATATGAGATTGTGAAGAAGATTTATGAAGTTATTTTGAGTGTTTTGATGGGGTACATGAATTGGGATATGATATGATTGATAGTATGCGGTACAAAATAGGTGAAAAAGGTCTTCACGTTGGATTGAAGAAATTAAAAGATGATAAGGGAGTTATAAAGATGGTCACAGTGTCCAAGTATTATGGGAAAGTGGAATTATATGTAGTACATGCATTTTTATAATCTGAGATATATATGGATGTTCTATTACTTGAATAAACCATAAATGTTGATGGGATGCAAGTTAAGGAGATGGATGTTGAAGTAGAAGTAACACAAGAAAATATTGAAATGGAATAGGGAGATAAGAATGAATCGAAGAATGTTGATGGCAGTCAAGCAAAGAAAAAATATTCCACAAAAAGGGAACGAAAATCTTCCGCAAAAAGTTTAAAAAAAAAAAGAGCTTGGAAAAAGGAAAAATAGAGAAGTCAACCAAAACATTAAGAACAAGTGGGAAAAAAAAAACCAAAATAGCAAGAACTAGTGAGCAAAAAAAACAAAAAACCAAACATCAAGAATAAGTGAAAAAAAATTGAAACTCTTATTGACTTTCATATTGATTCCAATTTTGATGAAGATTTTGAATTTGAACATCAATTTATAGTTGGTTCTAGTTCTGTTAATCCAAGGACATTTGCTGCAAGCAAGAATTCTTGTGATTTTGATGAAGATTATAGTAGCGTAGGATTGGAGACTGATATATATTATGAGGAGGATGATGATATGAACAACTTTAATTTATTTAAGATGTCATAAAAAACGACTGATTACAAATGGGAGTTAAGTATATTAATTGTATCTAAAGAAGATTTTAAAGAGACAGTAAAGACATATGTTATTCATTTTGGTAAAGACTTAAAGATTCAAAATAATGACAATGAAAGAGTGAGAGTGGTATGTAAAGGTGAATGCAAGTGGATGACATTTTGTGTCAAGTTACCGAGAAAAGACATTTGACAATTAAAAAAAATTATTAATGAGTACATATGCGGCATAGAGTATAAGGTAAAGTTGTTAAGTATAACTTGACTGAGTAAAAAATTACAAAATAATGTAAGAGAAAATCCCAACATAAAAGTTAATGATATTAAAGAAAAAGTACAAAGAAAGTGGAATATTGGAGTAAATAAGTCAAAAGTATAAAGAGTTAGAAAGAAAGCAATAGACCATATTAATTGAAATTTTAAAGAGCAATATAAAAAGTTGTATAATTATTGTCATAAGATGTTAAGGTCAAATCTTGATTCAACTATAAAGTTGACAGTTGAGCAACTTAGTCATGCAATTGAGGAAGGTGAAAATCTTTCAAAATAACTTTTTTCCACATTTCACATACTATATGTTGTTTTTGTATTTGCAAAGAGAAATTTTTAAAGTGCAGACCCATCATAGATTGGATGGTTATTTTTTAAAAGGATATTATAGTGGACAAATTTTGGCTATTGTAGGAAGGGATCCCAATGAGTAAATGTTGTCATTAGCAATTGCAGTTATGGAAGGTAAAAATAAAGACTCATCACAGTGGTTTTTATAGCTACTTGTTTCTGATTTAGGGAGTGTAGGAGTGTGTAAGTCACTTAACTTTATATTTGATTAACAGAAGGTATGACCCTTGCACCTTGAGTTTCATTTCATCATTTCATTTTATCTTGGTTAACTTATGTGTAGGACACTTAATATTTCTGATTTCAGGGATTATTGTTGGCCATTGAAGAATTGTGTTGCCTGAAGTAGAACAAAGGTTTTGTGTTAGGCACATGTATAATAATTTTAGAAAAGTATATCCAGGTAAACAATCAAAAGAGCTTATGTCGAAGGCAGAAAAAGCAATTTATCCATAAGAGTGGGAAAAGCAAATGAAAGAAATGAGGAACAATAATGAAAAGGTATTCAAGCACTTTTAAAGATTCTTCTAAGATATTGGAGTAAGTCAATGTTTTCTTTTCAATCTAAGACTGATGTGGTTGTAAACAATATGTCTGAAACATTTAATAATGTTATTATGGAACCTAGAGAAAAGCTCATTGTTACTATAATGGAAGACATAAGAGTGTATTTAATAGAAAAGTGGGCTGAGAATAGAAAAAATGCCACGTTACTCACAAAAGCAATTTATCCACAAGAGTGGAAAAAGCAAATGAAGAAAATGAAGAACATTAATAAAGAGGCATTCAAGCACCTCGGAAGATTCTCTCAAGATATTGGAATAAGTTAAGGTTTTCTTTCCAATCTAAGACTGATGTGGTTATAAATATGTTTGAAATATTTAATAATGTTATTATAAGACCTAGAGAAAAGCTCATTATTACTATGATGAAAGACATAAGGTGTATTTAATAGAAAGGTAGAGTGATAATAGAAAAAAAGGTCACGTTATTGACTAAAAATATACTACCAAATATATAGAAAAAGTTACAAAAACATCAAATTAAGATGGTGGTTGCCAAGGTATAACTTATACTTTAACTTTTTAATAGGGTTTGTTTTAGTCCTTTAAGTTTTAAAATTGGCTCATTGTAGTCCTCTAATTTTTTAATATAATTATTTTTAGTCCTTTAAGTATTTTAAAATCATGTTTATTTTCCTGTTTGCAAAATGGTCTTGAGAATATATGTTTGAGGTTTGACATATTAATTTTAAGAAAAATAAATTTGGGATGAACCTTGAAGCAAAAGAATGTTCTTGCAAAATATGGATACTTACTAGAATACATTGCTATCAT